CTGAACGTTAGTCATCATTACTAACTTAAGTCACACTGATTTCAATGGATCAACTCTAAGCATGGCTAAGGTTGGATCCAACCAATGGCCAAAAAAATGTGCAATATAATATGAAACCATTACAAGTTTATCAATGAAGGTGCAGCTGATAAGTAAAAAAATCTAGAGGGTTGTGAAATTTTACAGAATCTCTGATACTCTCTCTTCATATTCCTGCACGCTGAAACAATAAATATTCCTTTGGTAATCTTGTTTATACGGCTACATACATCTGCTAGCAATCATTCTGTTCCTAGAAGGACTATGTTTATGTTACCATAATTACACTGAAAAATCCCAGATATCACAGAGCCTATTTTTATCCTAACGATGAAGTAGTCAACAGCTCTGCCTATTGAAACATCCTGGCTACTTAGCCAAACTATGAAGAAATAATAATAATAATAAATTTTATTGTTTTATTACCGTAAGTTCCTCTGTGGGACATACCAGGAGAGGCGGTCCAGGAGGTACGAGGGTCCTAGGCCGTATAGGGCTTTGAAGGTTAAAACCAGCACCTTAAACCTGATCCTGTACTCTGCCGGGAGCCAGTGCAGCTGGTATGGTACCCCTGCCCGTACGGGCCAGTCTTGCCAGACTCTAGGGTTGTGCGCTCATCTCACTCTATATGCCGGGAGCCAGCGCTTGTCCGCAGACACTTCCGGGTCGACGTGGCCCAGCGTGAACAAGCTGCATCTGGCCGAGCCAGGCGCAGCACACGGAAACGCCGTTTACCTTCCCGCTAGGTAAGCCGGTCCCCTATTTATCTACTTGCAACCCGGGGGTGCTTTCGAATGCTAGGTTGGCCAGGCGCTGGGACGCTGATGACGGGAGTTGCCACCCCGTCGGCAGGGATTCGATACCGCCGACCATGCGATAGGCAAGTCCTAGGTTTCACTGAGTGTTTTACCCAGCACAGCGCCACCCGCGTTCCCGGCAGCTGGTATAGCACAGGTGAATGTGATCTCGCAGCGAGGATCCCGTAAGGAGTCTCACTGCGGCATTTTGCACCCGCTGGAGTTTCTGGGTCAGTCTCAAGGGCAGCCCCACGTAGAGCGAGTTACAATAATCCAGTCTGGAGGTGACCGTCATGTGGTTCACAGTGGCTAGGTCAGGGCGAGAGAGTAAGGAGCCAACTGCTTAGCTTGGCGGAGATGAAAAAATGCCGCCTTTGTTATAGCTGCAATCTGCGCCTCCATGGAGAGGGAGGTGTTGAAGATTACACCCAAACTCTTAACGGACGGTGTTGGCACTAATTGCGCCCCCGCAAGAGATGGGTGTTGCCCCCCCCAATCCCATATCGTCCCGACCCAGCCAAAGGACCTCTGTCTTCGAAGGATTTAACTTCAACTGGCTCCCACGTAACCATCCAACCATCCATCCAGTTTTTGCGATACATTTTGTGGTTGATAATCACTGCACACAAGGGAGAAACTATTCTAAGCTATTCATTGTGGGTGCCTCCACATGGCAGCTTCTTCTGTACTTGGTGCTGCACATTTTTTATTATTTTATTATTTCTGCAGCATCCACATAGCATTAACCTAATTAAAATGCCAACCTTACTCCCCTACCCCAATTAATTCCAGATTTACCATTTATATGTTTTGTTTTGCTACTTACTGGCTTTGCCACAGAAGTTGTAAATTTTGATTAAATGGGGAAATAATATGGATAAGCTTTCAGATTAGGACAATGTCATGTGGAAACTGTTCCAAACTTGCATGCATGCACAGCACAGACTCCAGAGGGAACAGCCACCTAGAAGTGCCCCAAATTATAGAAATAGTTCCCTTGAGCTTAACTGAGAAAAATTGCCTGGTTAAGTTTCCTAAAAAATATTATCTATATTAATGCTGCAGTATGTATTTACCTAGGAATAAGTCTGAATTCAATGCAGTAGGCAAACTTTTTTTTAACTCATCAATTTTTGGACAACTGGACAAAATATTTTTAACTGGTCGATAACCCCATTTTTTATTACAATACAAATGAACAACCACCACTATTCTAATGTAATTGTAAACTTCTAAGGACCTTGGTTTTGTTATTTTTCCTCTAGCAAACATAGTTCCTCTCCCCCTTTAGGGGCTATCGAATGTCCATCCAAACTAAGCAAGAGGCCTTCTAGAGTTCTTCCAGGCTCCCAGAGTCTGTACAGACTCTGCTTCACTTAGTTCTCTTAAAAAACAGTGTCTTGGGAACAGAGCCAAAAACTGAGGCAGAAGTTCTCAAGCAAAACACCACAATGGGGCAAAAGCTTGGTCAACAGTGGCAAAAGCCCATATGTTCTGTGGGGCAAGTTATGTGAGGTCTTTGGTCTAATTTAGACCCGTGTATTTTGGCTCATTTAAATAAACGGGATAACTTCATTGAACACTGCATATTTGGAAGGGTCTGCAGTTGTAGTCTCAGCACACATATCTCAATGAGAGAAGGAAAAAATGAAAATCAGCTTTAAAAAAATGATATATCGTTATGGAAGTTTGCATGTGCATTCTTGATGCAACTCTCTGAGTCAAATGTTAAGTCTGGCTTGAACCTTATATCCAGTTTTTTGGTGGGTGGGGAACCTGAAAACTCACTGTACAGTGGTACCTCGGGTTACATACGCTTCAGGTTACAGACTCCGCTAACCCAGAAATAGTGCTTCAGGTTAAGAACTTTGCTTCAGGATAAGAACAGAAATCGTGCTCCGGTGGCGCGGCGGCAGCAGGAGGTCCCATTAGCTAAAGTGGTGCTTCAGGTTAAGAACAGTTTCAGGTTAAGAACGGACCTCCGGAACAAATTAAGTACTTAACACGAGGTACCACTGTAATGTGATATATCTCATGAGCACGAAGCGAGCTTAATGATTTAATATTTTATATGTTTGGCATGATTCTCCATCTGCAGTCATAATTCCCGCTTCACTCCCCCCCCCATTTCCAAAGGGAGAAGGAAACACACAATAGCTGTGTACACACTAGACCTTTAAAGCACATTCAAAGCACATTCTTTCCCTCAAAGAACTGTAGTTTACCCCCTTACAGAGTTACAGTCCTTAGCAGCTCTTCACAAACTGCAGTGCCCAGAATTCTTTGAGGGAAAGAATATGCTTCAAATGTGCTTTAAAGCTGTAGCGTATACACAGCCGCAGATTGCAATGTGATATCTGGACCTTGAAAACATGATAGTAGTGCACAACTGGTTCTGCATTTCAGTTTTGGACATTGTAAATGAATGAAAAGGTCAACCCAAAGAGGCCCAGGAAGGCAAATTGCATTGAAAGGTATAATCTGATCCAAAGAACTATGCACTTTCCTTGTTGTGTTTTATCTTATTCAAACACAGAAAGAAATGGAATGGTGCAGGTTCACAGTCCACCGGTTTCCTGAGTGTTAGTGTTAAGTTGTGGGTGAACATATCAGACGACACAGCGATTCTCCAAACAGCTCTTGTTTATTCACAGGTCAGAACAGAACTGAACTGAAGGGTTCAGCCAGCCTGCTTATATAGCTCCACTAGAACGCAACAGTCACCATTTTCTGTAACTATCCAATCACTGAACGTCACTTTCGACCCCTTATTTGCATATGTGGACCTGAACTATCTACAGTATCCCTCTGCTGGCCCAAGGTCAGAACTTCAGTACATAACAGTTGGCATTTTTGTGATGAGAGATGAAGAAGCAGGTGCACACTTGTTCCTTCCTCCCCACAGATTCTGGAATAATCTCAGCAAAGAAGTTATCAAACTGGCAGGAACGGCTTGAGCTCCTAGCCAAGGACGCAGATGCTGTCTTGGTCAGTGGGGACTGGCAAACAGCCTGCTGCAGAAACCCTGGAGAGCAAGATCTTGGTTACTCAAGTTGCGGTCCTTGAGGATGCAAAATCCTTAGATGTGGCTCACATGTGCCCACATTCATAAGGCACCGTAAGATGAGAACTAGTGCATGTGGTTTGGCACGTGGTTATGCATGAAATCTAAAATAGATTTAGGATCTTGGCAGTCTGCATTTAAGGGGGATCAGAAGAAGTTTGGCTTAGGACAGATCCACGCCATACAATTATAATACACACTCAGTGCACACTTAAAGCACGTGGCTACCTCCAAAGAATCCTGGGAACTATAGTTTCCTTCTCACAGCACTATAATTCCCAGCATCCTTAATAAACTGCATTTCCCAGCGTTCATTGGGGGTAAGTCATGCACATTAGACTTGTGTTGGATGTGCTTTCAGGTTGCGCGTCGAGGTCCCCATGACACCCCCCCAAAGAAAAACACAATTGACACTTAATTTTTGTTTAAGGTTTTTGGCATAATTTTGGCCACAACTTTATTCACATTACAGCAATGTGAGTGGTTGCTTAGGCATTGGTAGCACTAACTGACCCCGCGCGGGGACAGCTCTGACATTCGCACCCCCTGCGAAGTCAGCAAGGGTAAGTCACCTGGGGAGAGAGACGGGACTGGGAACCATGCCTCACCTCTCCCCAGAATGCTCCCAGGGGCTTGCGTGGCCCTAGCCCCTTGCCAGGGGGTTTCGGACAAAAGCATGGGGAGCCCCTGGGTTCCTTTAACGGAAAACCCTTGAAGCAGCAGCAGCAGCATTTTGGAGGGGCAGGCACAGCCGAATCCATACCCCTCCACCAACCAATTCCAAGACCAATGCCTAACCGCAAACCTTACAAGTTGTGATGATTTGCTACGCAGTAGGCAAAAACCAAGTGGCACACCCTAATTAGCCAAATGGACAAAATTCCTACCAGGCCCCTGCCCCAAAGCAGACGACCCCATGACAGGCATAGCAAGGTGAAGCAAACAGCCTAAAATTAGGGAAGGGAGGGTGGGTGATCCGAAGTAAGCAGCGAAAAGAGGAAGTTCTTCGCTGCGAGCATTGTATTTAACAAATAGGGCTGTCAATCAGCAAATGGCAACATCTAGATTTCCCCAGTAACAGCCCGCCCCTGCTTAAAGGATGGCCAAACCATTTGCCTAGTAACAGTAAGGTGTCATGTCAGCCCCGCCCACAACCTGTGCTCTCCATGAGGGAGAACACACTGTAGCAGTGGAATAAATGCATAGCTGAATTATAAATGGCTTTCTGATTTTGTTTCGTGAAGATCTGCAAGCATCACCCGTGAAACTATATGTTCCGGAAAAGCATTTGGAAATATATTGGACTGTGACCAGCTACTACTTCCTGTAAATGTGAAGGAACCTGAACACTAACGTATGACATGCCATTTGCCGCCACTTTTGCCATTGTAAAAGCTAGGCTTTCGCTGTTTCGGGAACATCAGTTTACATTTCTAGTCCAAACAACATTAATATATAGCACACTATAAAAGAGAAGCGGAAAACATGAGGCTATGTTTATGTTAAAGGGAAGGATTTGATGAACTTGCAGCAATTTCACACATCCGGTGACTAGGAATATTTTCTCTTGAAAACCTCATCTAAATACAAACCAAGTGTTCTCTGTGGAAGAATTTTTGACCTCAAGAGAAGCCGAAGTACATAAGAGTTTGCAATATAACAAATGCAAGGACGTCCCCCCCACTTTTTTCCAGAATCAAAGCTGGAGAAATATTTCTCAGTCGCTCAGTTATTGCTATGCAGCTTTAAGCAGGCAGGGGAATGCTCATTTTGAGGATACTGTGGATTCGTTTTGCTTTATGGACACTGATTATCAAGACTTAACAACACCTGCAAGCTAAGTAAGTACTATAGCCCTTTTTAATGAATACAGAGAGAATAGTTGACCTGTTAGTTTGCCGATACACAACATGCCTTAAACTGGTGGAAATAAGAAACAAGGGACAATGTTTGCTTGGGACCATTTGATATTTATGATAGTAGGGCGGGGAGAAAAGGGGGGAAATTGAGGGAATATTTGTCGGAATGTAGACCAAAATATTGCACACCTCTGTTTGATAATACTGTAGAGAGACTACAGTGACAGGTGTAGGATTTTAGCTCTGCTGTGGAGCTGCTTTGTACAATACTCGGCAAGGCAGCCTTGTGTTTGCTTCCGAGTATACCCTCATTGGGAATCTATTCTGGAAGAACTGGTATGAGGAACCGCTACAGAATTGTGTATTTGCTATCACATTTTTGGTGCATTCATGCATTGCGTATTTTCATTGCAAACTAATATGGGCACATCTTAAAAATGTAAATGTATGAAGCAGCCATGCCCTTCCCAAAATCAACAGTAGTTTTTTTCTACAATAAAACAGTGTAGTCCATACCAAGAAAAGAAGAAGACTGGAGAGCTGTAAATCTGCTTGGCAGTTTCACAAGCTGTAGTCATTCAAAGGGCAAAGAATATCTTATCTGCACTTTTTAAATCTGCATCATCCATTGTATTGTTGCTCAATGTGAAAAATCCAAGAACAGATGTGTAGTTCTAGGTTATATTGACATGGATATATTTTGTATGAACAAAGGAATTCCAATTGTGATATTTAATTTTGTACAAGGAAAGAACAAAGGAGCACAAGGATTATTTTTGGAGACATCTTTTATAGTGAATGCACCTTTTTTGTGGTGGGAGAACAAAGTTAATGGGGAAATATGGTCCCCTTGTTGAATATATTGTTTTTAGCCTACTTCTTTGTTCTGGGGTTTTTCATTCCTTTTTGATGAAAAAGTGCACAGCCTTTCCATGTACATACGTAGAAAGCTTTGTCATTATATGATAATGAGAATTGTGGTACATTAAAGAACACAGTTGTCACGTAGATACTAGGCAAATATCCCATAAGCAAATGTACAAGCATAAATTTGGCTGCTTTTATTTTGGGATGTCAATGCAAATAGGTAGTTCACTTTCTATAAGCCAACAAGTTTCAGTGTATGTGTGTGTTTCTGATTTTCCTCCTGGCTAAGACAACTGCAGTTTCTCAAGTTACATAAAGATCTACTTGTTAAGAGTAAAGCTGCTGGGTTGTTGTTGTTTTTTTAGTTTTTAGATGTTTTTATTGGACGACGAGAGAGAAAGTTTGAAATTCAAGTCCACTGGTGCGTGAACCCATATGTTCCAAGACACACTGAAACATAAACAACTGGTGGTATATTTAATAGCTTGCCTTCCACGGCTGCCAACCTAAGTGACCCTCTCTGAAAGTAGCTCTTCTGCATTATGAAGAATTTCTCATTTTCCAAAGATGACTATGAGCCTGGCGTTCCTTTCCTTCCCGGTTTTCTCAACTCCACAAATGCACCAGCTCTTCCCGAAAGGCAATCAAGAAATGAACAATTAGCTCTGGTAGAAATCGCTGTGCTGGGGATAATATTTGCGACAGCGTCTGTGGGCAACATCATCCTCATCCTGGTGTTATGGAGGAGAAGAATGAAGCTGTCTAGGATGTACGTGTTCCTGCTTCACCTGAGCATTGCAGACCTGATGGTTGCATTCTTCCAAGTCCTTCCGCAGCTGTTTTGGAAAATTACAGATGTTTTCATGGGCCCAGACATTCTGTGCAGAACCATCATTTATCTCCAGCTGTTGAGCATGTTTGCCTCCACTTATATGATCGTGGTTATGGCATTGGATAGATACCAAGCTGTGTGCCGCCCCATGGCCTCTTTTCCAAAGAAGGCGGCCCTTTGGAACCCTCCGATCTGCACAAGCTGGTTCATTTCTCTGGTCTTCAGCGTTCCCCAGGTATTTATCTTTCGGAAGAGAGAGGTATCCCCAGGCATCTTTGACTGCCAAGCTGACTTCATTGAACCCTGGGGCACAAAGGTGTATGTGACTTGGATTTCCATCGCTATTTTCTTCCTCCCCGCAGCTGTCCTCATCGTATGTCATGTGAGGATCTGCAGAGCAATTCAAATGCATATGCATTTGAAAAGCTCCAATGAATTGGAAGTGACAAATCAGAAGCAAATACAGCCATGCCAGGGAAACAATGCAAGTTGTACATTGAAGGCTATGATCAAGACTATAAAGATGACAGTGGTGATAGTTGTGGCTTATATTTTCTGTTGGTCACCTTTTTTCATCGCACAGCTGTGGACTGCCTGGCACCCCAGTGATGCTAGGACTGAAGGTAAGGCCAATGATCTTGCCCGATACATAGCCAATAATCACATTGCTATATATTTAATATCTGGATGGATTTATATTCATTCTAAATGTGAGCATAATATTAAACGGCTTAATAAGAAAAAAATATCAAATGACATTTCTTTGCGAATTTAAAGAACAACACAGGAAATCAATTGTTTTTAAGTGAGTAGAATTTTGCTTCAAAACTTATTGAAATGCTTGCGCCCCAAAGGCCGCTGAATGTTATGTCCATTATGATTTATGAACAACTGGAGCAGATCAGCTGAAGTATTTGCTCAAGTCAAAACTGAACGAGACATTTCCTGTTACTCTTACGAATAGTCTATAGTGCACTGAACAATAATCTGATTCTAGAGAAATATAGACTGGATTTTGAAACTGTGACAAAATGTTTCCAAAGACATTTGGAAAATCTTCACCCACTCCCAAACAAATCTATAGTAAGTTAATTGGTTGAAGATCAATGGGATCAAAAAATTCTTATGTATATCTTTTATTAGCGTTCTTTTATTGAGAGTGAGCTTACTCTTCAGGGCATAAACATCTGTTCAGGGTATGAAAATCAGTTTTCCATTAAGAGAGAGAGATCATTTTCCCTGCAACATATTCCTTTGTCTTCTCTGAATGACTTATAAATTCTTTTCCTTTCAGGTCCAGTGATAGCCATTCTTATGCTCCTAGGGAATCTTAACAGCTGTGTTAATCCATGGATTTATATGTACTTTTGTGGTCAAATACCACGTTGTTCAAAAAAAATACAGGACAATGCTGCAGATCATGAAGAATCTACCATTACAGGCAGTGTTAACTTGGGGGAGAAAGAATCTGAAGACAATATCACATCTGTGTAATTATAAACTCTTGCTTTTTTGGCTTATGTTTGTTTCATTGAACCATTTTTCTAATATGGGCATGTGCACATGTGGTAAGAAACATTGTTTTCTTTATATATGTATTTCCTTAATTTTGAAACAAATATATTCAAGGTTCAAAAATTCCCAGCACAATATAAAAGGCATGTTATATGTGAATATTTTTGCATGCCAAGTGCTGAACACCATACACACCAAGGTACGTCTCAAACTACACGCATTCATGGGCTCCTCTCAATTCTGTATCCTCCTCCAGCAAGTTTAGTGTACATACTATAATGTCTCTAAGGTACCTTTGCCATGGTAAATGCATATCTCAACTCTCCTAAGTTGTTTCCACAAATTATACCAAGCACACTTTTTTTTTAGTAATATGACAATACAACAGGCTTTAGAGAAGTGTGGGGGAACCTCTGTCTGTAGATAGGTTTTTGTACTCCAATTCCCATCAGTGCTAGCCATCATGTCCATGTGGCCTCCTGAGGGTCTGTATTTGAGAGAGAGAAAGTGAGTTCCCATTAGTGATTGTCCTATGTGCAGATGTCATGTACTGCAGATTCCCTTCATTAAGCACCAGGTCATGTGCTGACATATGAGGTAATGTGAGCTGCACACTCCACACTAATTAAAATACATGCCAAGTCATAGACTGGGCACGATCTTGGCAAAGCTGAGGAACAGTGACTTACCTTACAGAATTCTTATGTGAAGTAAGATTGACTATGAAACACTCTGCCTATTAAAATTGCTTTATGAGCTATTGTTTATTTTGCTCCTCCTAGTCCTGTGGGCAGGAAGGGATAGATATGTCAGTGAGCAGAACAGAAATGAGTTATTAAAGTCACTGGTGGCTCCAGTGAAATGCTGCAAGGTTGAGTATAAAATCCCATTGTTACATGGTCATATTGCATGGAACTTTTGATCTAGAATGTCCAGCTGGAGTCTTGCCAGCCAGACTTTACTTTTCAGGATTTTCTCGTACTCCTGCTTCCTATTTTTTATTCAACCTTTAGTTTTTCACCTTCTATTCCTCTCAAGTCTCTCTGAACCTCCTCTACTGACATGCTGTGACCAATGATTCAGCTTCTGGCACTGCCCTTTCAAAAACTTGGCGAGGGCACTCAGTTTCTTGGTATTGACGTTTGGCTCTACAAACGTACGTTTTGTAAAATTGTGAGAGGACTGTGGCCTATTTTCTGGCTGTCGGCTCACACTGTGACTCACATCCCGGGCAGTTTCTTACAGCCACAGTCCCGGGAGGACATTATCACAATATCTCTTTGTGGGTCCTCTAGCACTTGATTGTGTTCTATAAACCTCATGCTGTTGGCAAAGCAAATTATGCACTTAATCTGAATTAATTGAGAGAGGAGTAGTCAGTTATTTAGAGGGACGCAGGTGGTGCTGTGGTTTAAACCACAGAGCCTAGGGCTTGCCGATCAGAAGGTCGGCGGTTCGAATCCCCGTGACGGGGTGAGCTCCCGTTGCTCGGTCCCTGCTCCTGCCAAACTAGCAGTTTGAAAGCACATCAAAGTGCAAGTAGATAAATATGTACCGCTCCGGTGGGAAGGTAAATAGCGTTTCCATGTGCTGCTCTGGTTCGCCAGAAGTGGCTTAGCCATGCTGGCCACATGACCCGGAAGCTGTACGCCGGCTCCCTCAGCCAATAAAGCGAGATGAGCGCCGCAACCCCAGACGCGGCCACGACTGGACCTAATGGTCAGGGGTCCCTTTACCTTTACCTTTACCTTTACCTTTAGTCAATTATTTATGATGATCTTTCTTTAACTTTGATATGAAACAAAGAGTGGGGAACTGCTGCAAACTTGTAAGAACGTGACAAACTATTATGCTAAGTAGCCCAACTGTCTACACTGATTGGCAGTGGTTATTTGGGGTTTTAGGCAGGGCAGTCTCCTGGTCATACTTGGAGATGCTGGAGACTGAGCCTAGGATCATCTGGGTGCAAAAGCAGGTGGTCTACCACTGAGCTATAGTTCCTTCATGATCAAATTACTGCCTCATGCTGGAAGCTTTTGCTGATATGAATGCCTTCCTCTTATAACTTTATGGTCTGGGGTTAAATTCACATCAGCTTGGGTAGGCCTTTGAACTATGGATGGCACATAATGCCATAATGATAATGACAATAGATTTCTTGGGGTTCGGGAGGGAGTGGCAGCTCTCTGATTATGGGATATGTGGTATAGTTGTGTCCCATTCTGCAGCTCACAGCACAGGAAGACTGACAATCGGCAAAACGAAATAGAAATTTTAAAGCTTTCTTTTTGCCCTTGTTAAACACACCTTTTTTTTTTTAAAGGAAGGATGCTTAAACAAATAATTAGCACATTGCTCATCACATTGAGCCTTGGCACTATGCAGTGAAAACTGATAATTATAAATTCAAATTTTGTTAATTTTTACCAAATTAAAGGGAGGTGTGTGTGTGTACATGCACTATATCACATGTTAAATCAGTTTATTTTTGTTTCTGAAAATGACTGTGCAAAGTTGCAGATGGGCTTTGAAGCGGTCCACCAGCTGATGAGAATGTTCACCATTCAAATGAGCTTTGTTTTCTAAACTCTTAGCACCGTACTTAATTCAGAATCATTTTTGTTATGCATAGCTAATGATGACTTGTGGCTTCCTATGTAGTTCTAATTATCATGTATAGAGCTTTTATGGAAAAACCATATGTTTAGCAACATGAATACTATATTTTAAATAACAACATTTAAGTCAATAGATATATATCAGTCTGTATGTATTTGTCTACAGGATAGCAGCATAAGTTTGGAATTTGGTTTATGGCAGAAAATAAAACATCCTGGGAATTTAACTGTCCCCAATCTTCCCTTTTGATACTAATGAATATTACAGATGTTCTTTAAATAAAAGAGTGTTACAGCACCATAACACTTTAAAAAGACAAAAACACAAAATTATGGTCACCACCATTTTGGCAATGTGTTGCCACTTCCCTACTGAAGCACTTTCAATCCAAAAGAAAAGTTCAGTATTCTGGGTACTCACATTTCATGGACACTAATGGGCAACTACACTCACATTAGTAAACATGGGTAGTGCTAAATAAATTACAGATTTTTAATTTTAAGGATCACCTGGAATTCCTCCTCCCAAAGGTCTCTTAGGTGAACTAGACCTTCCCTTTCCCCTGACACAGCAGCTACATCACATTCACTAGTATCAACGTAGTGGGATTAACATTCAGGAAAAAGTGTAATATCCCTGAAAGTGTTGAAAGTCACTTGCAATTCTGCATCTTACAGCAGAAGAACAGTATTTTATAAGAGCTTGGAGCCACCCATCTGGAAGCGGCTGTCACAAACATGTGTCCCGCAGACCCGTAAAGTCCCCAAATCCCTCTTATTTTGAAAACTGCTAAAAACTAGAAAGGTTCAGTCTAACCAGATGACAACCACTGCGTATTGTTCCATGTGTCTTGTAAAACTTCCAATTCTCCTTATTTATTTGTACAAGGGGGGGGGGAATCTGACTCCAGCTGTGGCTTAAAGTTTGCAAAGCATTCTTCTTGTTGTCTCCTACCTTCTATTCTGCAAACCAAAACAACCTTATTTATGAGAGACCTTTTGCCAAGTAAGTCAAAGAAACTTTGCATAGGCTGGCTTGGATCCAAAGACCCCACTGTGCAAATCTAAGGCCCTTCCTCTTGTGCAAGGTAGCTGCCAATTTCCCCCTCATCTGCACCCCCCTCCAACTTCTCCAGAGCATATCCCAAAGCGGAGCCAGTTTTCAGGGGTTGCAGATGGGGAAGGGAATTAGTGATCCCCTCTGCATGTGGACAAATGTATTTCGCTTACGCAATGTGATCTTTGGAACCAAACAATTTACAACACTCCTCTTCATTCCAGAATGCTTATTTTTTGAATTAGCTAAACAGGTTTAAAAACACCTATTATTTCTAAATCTGAATGGTGGTGTGAGTACTTCTGTTCTTCTGTCTCGATAGTTGCAGAGGCACCACAAATAGATTAAAGCCCAGCTGAAGACTGTCATTATTTATGGAAATGTTTTCCAAGAATGGGAATCTTAAAGTCTCCTCTTCCTCCTATTCAAACCCTCTTCTCTACTTCACAAGGTAGAAGAACGAACCATCCAGCTAAATCACAATATTGCAGGGATGGTCCCTGGTGCCTTTCAGATGTTATTGAACATGCAGTTGATGGAAGTTGTAGTAGTTCAGAAACATCTGGAAGACATTGTGTTGAATATTGTTTAGCCACAACTGCCGACAGCTGAATTTTTATTCTGCCGTTCCTCCAAAGGGGCCAGAGCAGTGTGGTGTACGTAGGTTAGGATGAGAAGGAAATGTGTTTTCCTCAGGCATCCACTGAGCTTCATAGCTAACCAGGGATTTGAACATAGGAAGTTGCCTTATACTGAGGCAGACCAACAGGTCCATGGAGTACAGTGTTGTCTGCACCAGTCTTCTTCAACCTTGGGCCACCAAATGTTGTTGGGACTACAACTCCCATCACCCAGAGCCAGATTTTCCATGACCAGAAATGATGGGAGTTGTACTTCAACAACGGAGGACCCAAAATTGAAGCACACTCATCTACATCTATGTCTCTTAAAAAGCAGAAACATCACCTTGCCAAGAAAGGTCCGTATAGTTAAAGCCATGGTTTTCCCAGTAGTGATGTATGGAAGTGAGAGCTGGACCATAAAGAAGGCTGATCGCCGAAGAATTGATGCTTTTGTATTATGGTGCTGGAGGAGACTCCTGAGAGTCCCATGGACTGCAAGAAGATCAAACCTCTCCATTCTTAAGGAAATCAGCCCTGAGTGCTCACTGGAAGGACAGATCCTGAAGCTGAGGCTCCAATACTTTGGCCACCTCATGAGAAGAGAAGACTCCCTGGAAAAGACCCTGATGTTGGGAAAGATGGAGGGCACTAGGAGAAGGGGACGACAGAGGACGAGATGGTTGGACAGTGTTCTCGAAGCTACCAGCATGAGTTTGACCAAACTGCGGGAGGCAGTGGAAGACAGGAGTGCCTGGCCTGCTCTGGTCCATAGGGTCACGAAGAGTTGGACATGACTAAACAACAACAACAACATCTACACAGACTGGCATTGGCTTTCCAGGGTTTCAAACAGCAGTCATTCCCAGTCCTACTTGCCAGTGATTGAACCAGGAACCTTTGACATGTAAAACATGTGCTCTGTCACTGATCTATGGCCCTCCCCCAAGGTGAGTTTATCATTCCTGTAAAATAATAATAACAATAATGATCTAAGTTGCAATCCAAACTCCCTTTCTTGGTTTGTTTGTTTTGTGGGTTGGAAGTGTCCTCCACCTGATGGTCTTCACTGGCCTCCACCCACAGAGTGATCATTCCACTCACACAAAACTCCCGATTTGTTTTGTCCAATGAGTGGGAAGGTGGAAGTGCATATACTTGTATCTCCACCAGTGGCAGCCTGCAGAAAGCTCCACTGAGAAGGTTGCACCTTCCTTCAACCAGAATTACTTTAAAAATGTTGACTTAGAACCATAGAATCATAGAATCATAGAGTTGGAAGAGACCACAAGGGCCATTGAGTCCAACCCCCTGCCAAGCAGGAAACACCATCAGAGCACTCCTGACATATGGTTGTCAAGCCTCTGCTTAAAGACCTCCAAAGAAGGAGACTCCACCACACTCCTTGGCAGCAAATTCACCAAATTCAAGAGAACTCACTCTGCAACCCTATGCATGACTATTAGGAAATCAATTCTGTTGGGTTTGCTGTTGGGGGGGGTATTGTTTTGTTGTTTCTGTTTTAACTATTTATTTGTGCTTTTTCTTGTATTTTTGTTTTGTGAACCACCATGAGATCTTTTGATGAAGGGTGGTATATAAATCTTAACAACAACAACAATATAATTTTAGCCACTATGCCACACTAGCTTTCAAATTTTGGCAACCTAAGCTACTGGTCCTTCTTGCAGGTGAAAGATGAAGCTGGATTGAACCCCAAATTCATAAAAATGTGGTGTGAACCTTCATCTTTCCCTCTTACAGATCTTTTTTTCTGGCTTCACCAACTTTGCTCACTTTAATCTGACTTATGTATGTTTCATTGCTGATCTTATTGAACAAAATAAAATGCAGTGACCTAGATCTAGTATAACTCATTTTAATGTCATAAAATGGATTGCCTTTATCGATCTACACAGTATTTTATTTGCAAAGCTAGCAATAACGCAGAAGTGTTTTATGATAGCACCACATGTTAACACACCATTGTCTTCAGCCATTATATTTCCATGGCTTCGATCTCAATATTTTCTAACCCACAGATTATTCTTTTCTGAAATAGAAAGATTTCTGTTGATTAGAAAGATAAGAGTTTTCTCTGCAGTCAGAATTCCTAAAATGATAAACTAACAATGTTGCGAACTTCTGCCA